GGCGGGTGTGTGGTGTGTGTGGGGTTCCTCCCCCTCGTCGTCGAGAGGGTTGTGGGGTGTTGGTGTGTGTGTGTGTGTCTGTGTGGGGAGGGGAAAGGAAAGGAGGGCTGCGCTGCAGTGGAGGGGCAGCCGTGGCTCGGCAGCGTCCCTCACAAGGGACATTCCCGCTCGGAATGTGAGGCGCGGCAGAGGCAAGGAGGGTTCCTTGTCAACTGCGATTCCCTCAGAAGCCGCAACCAGCAGCGGGAGCGGCCTCGGGCTTCCCAGCGCGGGGTCGGGCGTCGACTGGAGGGTGGGGAGGCTCCTCAAGACCCTCCGCGAAGGGGCGGCCGAAGAAGGGGCGGCTTCTTGGGCGGCGGCGGCGGCGGCACTACCACCACCTACGTTCCTCCGGCGAGCCTGAGAGACCCCCTCGTCGCCTTGCCATGAAGAAGTTTTCCCGCATGCCGAAGTCTGACGGTACCGGAGGGAGTACGAGCAGCGGCGGCGGTGGAGGAGGAGGAGGAGGCGGCGGTGGAGGCGGCGGCGGCGGATCGTCGTCGTCGGCGGGTGCGGGCTGTGGGGTTGGAAGCGGCCCGGCCGTGGGCAGCAGCAGGGTCTTCGCTGTAGGACGCTTCCAGGTCACTGTGGAGGAGCTGCTGGCGGAAGGTGAGTGTGGAGAGGAGGGCTGAAATCCCCGGTAACCCCAGATGATCCATTCCCATGTGGACATGTGCACGCACACGCAACCCTCCCTCCCCTTGTAGGGCCTTGGAAAAGACACCGAACTGACAAGAACCCCCTCCCCCCCGCCATTTCCACCTCATCGGGTAGAAGGACTCCGATGGTCTTGCAGGCTCTCCCTTTTCTGTTGCCATGGTTCACAAGACCCGTTATTAATGTCAGCTCTTGGGGAAATTCTGGCATTTGTGTCCGTCTGGTCTGGGGATGGACCGTAACAATGGATGGATGAGGGGTTTGGTAGCTGCATTTCATTTAAGTAAGGGCAAGGATTGCCTGCCTGTGCTTTTTCTCTGTCATTCCTATTCCCAACTTCTGCTTTTCTAAGAATTGCGTGCACTCTGAGGAAAGAGAAGTGCCACTGCCAGATATCGATAGCGAGGCTTGAGTTCTGTATAACGCATTTCCTAAGCCTAGTTGTACCTGCCTCCTGTGTTTCATCTGCAAAAACCTAGCTAAAGTGCAAGTACTGTACACCCGTCTCTGGCTGTGCACAGGATAGCGGGCTCATTTCTGAATCCAGCAGTTGTAGTCACTGTGTTGTAGAGGCCTTGAAGCAGACTTCCTCAGGCAGGCGACCTGTGTTGAGCAATGCAATCCTGGCTGGGAATGATGTGAATTGTAGTACGGTGGATTGGGGAAGGCTGTCCTAGATCTTTCTCTTTTATGGATGTAGGGTGGAAATTGCAGGCCCATAAGTTTTTAGACTACACTTTTTTGTTTGGACCTGGGGTGGCTTCCATAAGCCCGGTTTATGTACAGTAGTTCTGTCTGGGTATCATGTAAACCTATGAACAGTGATGTTAGGTGTGCGCTAAGCCTACTGGGGGCTGATTTTTTATTTGGCCTATAATTCTGTTTATTTGTTAACAGTGTTTATTATGAAAGTTGCATGTAAACTGCTGTTTCCTTACAAAGTAGCATGCAGAGGATTTGTAGCAAGTTAATAATGATTACATGCCATCAAGTTGATTCTAACTTACAGTTGCTGTCTAGAAGAAGGGGAGGAAAAAGGTAAAGAAATCACTCTTAGATTTCTTTACTTTGAACAGGTGACCAGTTGTCACTTAGAAGACCTGATACACTTCTATGCTGGACAGAGCACCCGTCCATGTTGTATTCAAATACAGTATATATATATATATTGCTCATAATCCCCTCTGTACATGTTGGCAGTTTATGGAGTATTAGGAGCAGTGGAAAACCTATGTGTAATACTCATATAATCACCTAGTCCTTTATGTTTGATTGGGTTCTGCAGTCTTGTGGCACTTATTTGCTAATTTTGCACTTTGTATATGACTTCTAATATACAGTACTTTGCTGTTGTTTCATAATTCATTTTAATTAGTAATGCTTTATCACACAGGGACTCTGAAATAGGTAAATATCTGAATTATGTGTTTGAAAAATAGAAGTGATGAATAATATTAAAGAGAATAATCTGAAAATCTGAGTAAACTGTGCTGTTAAGTTTCTGTATTACTCTTTGCAAAGATATCTTCCAAGTTGTACATGTACAATAGTGCAGTTTATTTATTTCATAGATTCAGCATGAATATTAGCAAAATTGCATGTATGTCTTCCAGAAGTGTTACAAATATATACCAGGAAGGAAAGCACCTAATTTGTATTTTAAATTCTAAATATTTAAGTTTACTTGTGTTTAAGAGTTGGATGGATTTGATTTAAATCATATTAGATCACAATTTAAATCACAGTTTAACTTTAAAATGGATTTTTAATGATATTAGAAATCATTTTTAAATTCAAGTTGTGATTTAAATCAATATGATTCTTAAAAAATAATTGATTTTTTTATCACCTTGATTATGAGCCAGCCAGAATTCGGTTAAATACTCATTTCAGTGACAATTGTGAGACAGATTTAACAACTATTTGAAACCTTATGAATATGTTTGCCCTTATGAATGGATTTATGCATGTGAAAAATATCCTACTCTTGAAACTGCATGTTGGTACCTGTTGGCTTGTAGAGTTCTTTGTTTTGAGAATTTACCATGTCATTTATGTCCCCAGCTTCTTAATGTTGTGGTTGCCTTGTCATTTATGTTTGGGTGAGGGACTGGATTAGTTCATTAATGTGCATACCCTACTTTAGTTTGTTTGAGTAGAGGAATATATATGTTGTAACTGCTGATATAATATCGATATTGATATGATACTGTATTTGCCTGTGACAACAGAGGTGGGTAAAGTGCAGTCTTCCAGATGTTTTTGGGCTGCAGTTCTCAGCCTTGACTATTCTGGCACCTAATGATGGGGGTGCAGTCATAAAACCTAGATCCCCAACCCAAGAAAAGGTTTAAAATTTAGTTGTAATACAGTATGATAAGCAGTGTTTCAATTTCTTATAATTCTAAGCAGCAACAACATTTTCTCAAAATGACTAGTTTGAGAAGGAGATAATTTTAGAACTGCACAGCTGGAAGGAACTCTATGGACCATCAAGTCCAGCACTTATCGAGGAGGCACAGTGGGGAATTGAAATTCCAGTTTCTGGCTCCACAGCCAGATGCCTAAACCACTGCTTATCTACTGTTCAATATATATCTACACCTATCAGCAAGATATCTGTCACAACTCATCTTCTCCATATCTCTCAGGTTTGGTTGTTTTATAGAGAGCTGTATCCCTTACTTCTAGCTTGCAGGAATCTAAAAGTGTTTTAACATCCAGCTGAACAGAGCAAGAGAAAGGCTGGCCAAACATAATAAGGCAGAGAAGTTCCATGATAGGGTATGACTTGTGGGAATACCCCTTTTCTTGGTGCCGTTAACCAAACCTCCTTCACAGGCATGAATACTGTATAGCAGTGGTCCCCAACCTTGGGCCTTCAGATGTTCTTGGACTACAACTCCCAGAAGCCTTCACCACCACCTCTGTTGTATAGGAAAGACCTCTCCAGCAAATATTGAGACGTTCTGCCTTATTTGAAATTGTTACATAGGTTTTTGTTATGCACACAGTTGTTAATATATGTTTCCTTTAGCCATGTTACATTGGTGTTTGTTAAGTGAGATGTGCTTATATATGCACAGGGAGCATGTTCAAATTGCATAGTAAGCCAGATTGTAGCAGGATGAACTGGCATACCAAATCCTGCTGTCCAGCCACTTAAGCTTACTGTGGAAGCAACAAAATTTTATGATGATGTCTCAGTGTTTTTCTTCCACATGCTAAAGAAATAAACCCTGAACTGTTTCTCTGCATGTTGGAAAAGAAACAAGCAACATTTAGCTATTGCTTCATTCAGACGTTGTAAGGAACAGACCACAGCTCAAAGATCTGTGGCTTGTTGCCATTCTTGTTGACAGTGAGAGCATGCAAAAATGGGTGTGAGCATGCTGGCAGGACTCTGGCAGGCTAGAATGCAACTGAATTATGGCTGGTTATATGTGAATCTGTTTGTAGAGAATTAGATAAGGCAACTATGAGATTTGGTATAAAGCAGCTTATGTTCAGTAGGCATGTGTGGTTGGCTATTTTGGACTCCAACTCCCAGAATTTCCCAGGCAAAATTGTGTGAATTCCAGTGTACAGACCCACACTTACATTTCACTCACCTAAAGATACTGTATGTAGAAGGCTTTGTGACTTAGCCCCAGCCTAGCTTCCTATTAAAGAAGGAAGTCTTGAATTATACTCTGTGGAAGGAACCTTCCAAAGAACTACAGTCATGGCCAAAAACATTGGCACCCTTGCAATTCTGTCAGAAAATGCAACTCTTCTCTCAGAAAACTGTTGCAGTTGCAAATGTTTTGGTACATGTTCCATTTCTTTGGTTTGTGTTGGAACAACACAAAGAAACAGAGCAGAAAAGTCCAATCTGATGCAATCCCACACAGAAACCCAAAAACGCATGACTGTATGTCTCCCATGGATCCATAGGAATCACAGATATTGTGGGCAAGGATCCCTCTAAGGTGTGAGGCTGTGTGTGCACCTCCACTTTCCTCTTTGCAGCCCCTTTGGTTCTGGTTGCAACGGAACCCTGTGCATAGGCGGGCCAGAGTTGTGCGTACACACACAGGGGAGAAGTAGCATGCATGAGCGGTGGAGCCCCACCCAGCAGGGCTGAAAATTAGAGGGTACATTGGCTGTGTCATATTCCTTTTAACAAGAAGCTAGGCTGGAAATATGCCATGGAATCTCCGAGCTAGGCTCTTCTATTAATGTTAGACTGTAGCCTGAACCTCCCACAGTCTTGCTTGGGGAATTCTTGGAGAATTCTGGAACTAGAGTAAAAAAAAACCCCGAATGGTACATCCTTAATGTTCAGATACTTGCATTTAATGAATAGTGTATTATGTTAGGTTGAGTCCCAACAAATATAAGCAGCTGAAGTGTGCTTACTAATATTGTTGCACAAACTTTTCTATGGCATGTGATTTGTGTTACAATGTGCTGTAGCTGTTTCCCCATACATGGAATATGTGTTGTTCCCTTTGGAAAGGAGGTATGAATGGTGAGGTACATGCAGTTTCATATTGGAAGGTACATTCAGACATGGCTACTTAAAATTCTCAAAATTAGCCTGATAATTGATATAAAAGAGCATGCATCCTGGCTAATTCGGCTTCCTTTGTGCACATGCTGGGAGATTTAAACTATAAACAGTTGAAGATGATGTATACAGGGAGGGAATAGCATTTTTTGTGTGTGGAAAAATCTGCTCCTCTTAGGACTGTCCACTTCTATTGGACTATTCTCCCACAAGGCCATCTAACATGAGTGTAACTGAACAAGTTCTTGATGACTACCAACATTTTCTAATATAGTTTCCTTTTATTTTCATAGTGAATATTGATGATACTTCTAGGCCACATTGAAAGTATTTGTGTTCTGATAAGTTGGATATTAACAATTATTATAAATAAACAAAGGGTTTGTGTACATAAGAGCAT